GGAGCCGGGGCTAAGTAGCTGACGGAGCGCTTCCCCGCCGAGGAGCAGCGTGCTCCCGGCGTCGCTCCGCTACTGCAGCGGACGAACCCACACTTCATCTGCACACCGAACTCGAGCCGCAGGAAGCCTCCGCCCCTTCCTTGCGCCGTCAACGTGCGGGTCAAGGTGCCTTCCCCTCTGTTTGGTCCTGCTTTCCTATTACAGTTAAGGCGATCATCCCTTCCCTTCCGTGGGTCGCGGCCCATTTTCGCCAGAACCCACTCCACCGGCCGTGTCTGGCCGACTTCCTCACGATTCCCCTCCAGCTGCGCCACGGTCATGAGCTCCTGGGTCCACGCCTGTGTGCGTAGGTTTTATAAGTATTTTTCAATTGGTACATAGATGCCCAACTCCAAGAGGAATGAGGCCTTGCTTTCCACACACGTGGTGTAATTGGCTTAATAACACCTGCCTTGGAAGACTGTTGTTAGGAATAAAAGCAAAAATGCATATAAAACAGGCAGCAAACAATAGACACTTAAGGGCTATCATTAGGCTAGTCCTAATGTCCTTCCCCCCACATTTCTGCCCATGAGATATGCAGCAAATACTATCATCGATTCCCATCGCAGTGCTCTCTCAGGCTGTCTCTTCTCAGAATATTTTAATCCCTCTGGTTTTCTCTTCATCCGTCTCTTCTGCTGATCATTTAGTGCTTAGACCCCGATGGGAATAAATGATGAGGTAAGTGAAGAGAGCCGAGAAGAGAAATGAGCACTAAGACAGGGGGCAGCAGATCTGGAAACAGCTTCCCCAACCCTCCCTGCCCCACCGAGATCTGCTCCCCGTGATTGCTGATACCCCTTTCATGGGCCCGGGGTGAGTTTATGACACATGGATGTAAACGATGGCCTGTAAGGTGTAATAAAGTCCCTACAAATTTCAGGTGGCCGCTGGAAAAAGCGCTCTGCCCACCTCTACTGCTTTCTTCATTAACACATGTCCCCTCCTCCTGACTTCCTTGGACCCCCAAACGCACATCACCATGGAATGCTTTCATTCCCTTCCTACAATAAAGGCGTAACTGGGCCTCCACCCTCCCATCTCCATTTCCCCCACTCTCCCCACCTCCTCTACAGCCCTTCAGTCAAGGGCTCCGGTTTGGAAATTGTGAGGAGTGTGGACTGGAGAGGAGTGTGTGGGAAGGTTGAAGTCAGTTCCTATTCTGACCCTGGTGGACCACAGGTAAGCTTCAACGGTAAGAGGACAGAACTATTGGAGCCAACATTTATTGGCTGCTTGCTGTGTTCCACACTACTAAGTGCTTTTGTGTTTTACCCTTTTAACTTTCAAAATCGCCGTATGAGATAGGTACTCTTATCCCATTTTACACATGAAAAAACGGACTTCTAAAGATTAAGTAACATGCCTATTGCCACAGTGCTAACAAGTGATGGTGCCAAGTATATGACCCTCTAGTATAATAAGCATATACGAGCATATACTATATGCATACTATACTGTGCATATAATAAGCATATACTAGCATAGCCATATATGCACATATATACATATATTATAAATTTTTATAAATGGCATGTTTGCATTAAATAAATATAAATATAAAAAAAATTTACACAGAAGTAAATTGCTTAGATGTATTCAAGAACAACTAGTTAAAAGACATAATGAAGGAATAAAGGCCATAGTTACAATACGGGGGGAACAAGAAAGATAAATTTCTGGGAATACAATTAACAAAAATGTGCAAGGTCTGCATGAAGAAACACATTTAAAGCTCTCTAGGGACACAAACGAAGAACTAAACAAATAGAAAGGCAGGTAGTGTTCTCAGATTGAAAAAACTCAATTTCATAAATACATAATCATTCCTAAATTAATCTAAAAACTTAACATGAACACACACAAAAAAAAACCAATGTTTTTTAATTAGAAACTCGGATGCTAAAGTTAATATAGAAAATTCATTTTAAATTGACCAAAAAAATGTTTGAAATTGACAAGAAAAATGAGAAGGTAACTAGCCATACAATATTTTTAAATATTTTAAAGCTATAACACTCAAAACAGAGAGTAGTGTTGTCATATAGATAAAGCAATGACACCGAATAGAAATCACAGAAATAGACCTGAATACATAGGATAATTTAATACATGATAAGCAATCAGGGGAGGTGGGGAATGAACTATTGAGCAAATGGTTTTGAAACAACTGAATAGACAGCTGGGAAAAAATAAGTAATATCTATTCCTCACACTTTACGTGAGGATAAAACCTAAATGGAGCAAATATTTCAATATTAAAAAATAAAACCATAACAAATAGTAAAAGAAACAATGGAAGAATTCCTTCATAATCTCAGTAGTGAAGTTCTTACTAATTGTATCACAGAATCCAAATGCCCGAAAGGGAATAATGACAAATTCTACCACAGACAAAACATTGTTTGACTGCATGGAGGGAAAACACAAATTCAGAAGATAAATGGCAAAATGGAAAAAATGTCCATCTCATATCAAGATAAAGAACTCATTTCCCTAATATATAAAGAGCTCCTATAAATCAATAAGAAAAATATGACTTCTGTTTTCTAGTCTGACATGTAAAGACGGGGAAGGCATCATTCCCTCCAGCCCCCTCTAGCCCTCACTGTGGGGAAAAGGAAATACCCAGTTCGGGATTCCTAAAAGACTGAGACCTAGTCATAGGACTAGAGAACACTTCCCCTGCCTCTACATCTTTCCACGACACCCAGAGGGCTCCAGCATAATACAGGGATTATTAGAGCTACAAGAACGGCAAGACTCAGACCTTATTTAGGAAGCCTCCCAGATAAAACAAGGGAGATGAAAAAGACACCGGAAGAAATTTTAGTCCCTGACCCCACAGCAACTGCAAACAGTAAAAACAGCCTAACTCTTGGCCAGACAAATATAAAATCTCACACAAAAGCCTTGTCTACCTAAGTAATTTTTACCCAATACATCATATCCAGCTTTCCACAAAAAGGTTAAAAGGTTAAAAAAAAAAAAAAAGCACAGTGTACAAAGACAAAGTAAGAGTTAGAAGTTTTGGAATTATCACACCAGGAATTGGAAACAACCATCACTAGGGGCACCTGGTGGTTCAGTCAGTTAAGCATCCGTCCTTGGCTCAAGTCATGATCTTCACAGGTTCGTGGGTTTGAGCCCCACACTGGCCTCTGTGCTGACAGCTCAGAGCCTGGAGCCTGCTTTGGATTCTGTGTCTCCCTCTCTCTCTGCCCCTCCCTCGCTTGTGCTCTGTCTCTCACAAATAAACGTTACAAATTTTTTTGAAAAAAACATCATTAATAGGTTAAGGTCTCTAATGGAAAAAGTGGATAACATGCAAGAACCAATAGGTGATGAAAGCAGAAAAGAGAAAGGTAAAGGGGAGAATCTACGGGAAGTGCGAGAAATCCGAAACACTGCAACACAAATGAAGAAGGCCTTTGATGGGTTCAGCAGGGCACTGAACACAGTCGAGGAAGGAACCAGTGAGCTCAGAAAATATGTCAATAGCAACTCCTCAAATTGAAACGCGGAGATAAAAGAAAGAAAACAATGGAACAGAATATCCAGGAACTGTGGGAAAACGACAAAGGAAGTATCACACATGTAATTGGAATACTAGAAGGAGAAAAAAGAGAGAAACACAGAAGAAATATTTGAAGAGATAACATTTCAGAAATTTCCAAACTTAATGACAGACTCTAAGCCACAGATCTAGGAAGGTCGGAGAACAGTAAGTAGGACAAACCCAAAAAAATGTACAGTGTACCTCACGCTCAACATATATCCATGTCTACAGTGTAGACAAAGACAAAGAGAAAATCTTGAAAAAGACTAGAGGGGGGGCAGGGAATCCTCCCTATAGAGGAACAAAGAAAAGAATCACATTGGACTTTTCTTCAGAAACCATGCAAGCAAGAGGAGAGTGGAATGACATATTTAAAGTGTTGGGGGGGACAAAAGACAAATACTAACGATAGAATAGTTTACAGAAAATACAAATGGTTCTTAAACATTAGTAAATAGTTTCAATTCCATTTATAATAAAAGAAATGTAAAATAAAACTGCAGATATACCATTTTTGCTATAATTTGACAACTATTTAAAAAATAATATAAAATACTGTGTTAAGAGTTTGGGGAATTCAGATGCTCTCATATACCACTGTGGAGATGAAGTTGTCACAGCCTTGAGGAAGGGCACTTTTGATAGTATCTACTTACATATCACAACTGCACAGATCCTTTGACTCAACAATCTCTCTTCTGGAAATTTATCGTCAGTATCTATATACACATGTACAAAATCCCGTGTGCACAAGATTCCTCACCGTAGCACTCTTTGTAGTCGCAAAAGACTGGAAACAGTTCATGTGTCCATCAGGAACAGGTTATGGGGCATCTGGGTGTCTCAGTCAGTTGGGTGTCTGATTCTTGGTTTTGGCTCAGGTCATGATCTCAGGGTACGTGAGACTGAGCCCCACGTGGGGCTCTGCGCCACTCTCTCCCCGACTCAGAAGCATGCGTGCACGCTCTCTCTCTCAAAATAAATAAAGTTTAAAAAATGAATGACTGGTTACATGAATTAAAATAATTCCATAGGGGCGCCTGGGTGGCTCAGTCAGTTGAGCGTCCGACTTCGGCTCAGGTCATGATCTCGCAGTCTGTGAGCTCGAGCCCGACAGCTCAGAGCCTGGAGCCTCTTTCAGATTCTGTGTCTCCCTCTCTTTCTGCCCTTCCCCCGCTCATGCTCTGTCTCTGTCTCGGTCTCGGTCTCTGTCTCTGTCAAAAATAAATAAACATCAAAAAAAATTTTTTTAATAATTCCATAAAATAGAATCTCAAGCAGCTTGGTAAAGGAAAAAAAAAAATAGGGAAGGTTTTTGTATGCTACCATGGACTAAACTCCAAAGAATACTGTTGAAGAGAAAAATACAGTCCAGAACAGTATATGTGTTATGGCATCATTTATGTCCTAAAGGAAAACCTTTATATTAATACATATAAATAATATCTCTAGAAATATATATAAGAAACAAAGACAACAGCTTTGCTTGTCTGCTGAAAATCATATACCTAGGGGACAATGAATAGGAGGGAGCATTTTCACTGCATACACTTTCTTACCATCTTGAACCACACGAATGTAGCGTTTCTTTACAAAAACATAAGCACGGCTTAACTTTTTTACGTAATTACATATTCCTCTTTGGCAGGAATGGAAGTACAGCACCTGGTCTTGGGAGGAGCTGCAGAAAATGTGATCAGGGAAGACTTTTCTGCACAC